CTTTTTCGACATCTCAACTTCCAAAAGTCGTCCGACACTGAGGTGTTTTGTACATTTTGACTTGGAAATGTGCTTCGCGCCACAACGGCGTGCACTTTTTCGACATCTCAACTTCCAAAAGTGGTCCGAACCTGGTGTGCTTTGTACATTTTGACTTCGAAATGTGCTTCGCGCCACAACGGCGTGCACTTTTTCGACATCTCAACTTCCAAAAGTGGTCCGAACCCCTGGTGTTTTGTACATTTTGACTTGGAAATGTGCTTCGCGCCACAACGGCGTGCAATTTTCATCTCTCATCTGGCCAGCTGGCTCCGCACCCGCCGCTTTAGCGAGCCTACTTTTCGACCCTCCGGAGCCACAAATCATTGGAAAAACACAGTGAATCGCGACTTTCCTACCTTTTCGCACATCTGTATCTTCTTTCTTCTGACTCTTTCTCTTCTACTCTTCTCTCTTCTAATCTTTCTCTTCTCTCTGCCTCTGCCCTGCTCTGCTTTTCATCTGTCCATATTGTCGGAAGTTTGACTTCTAAACTTCCTTCGACAATGACAATACAGAAAACGCAGCTTTTGCATCGTTTGAATCTCGGAGCTCCTTCTCCGTCATCTGGATCTGTTTCTTCTTCTGATCCTCTGCGCGTAACAAGATGTTCAAGGCAACCTGGGTGCCCTCCATGGCCAAAGTCGAAGGCAGCTGAGCCGTCTCATTCAACCCTGCGGCTGTCTCCTGGATTCAGCCGAGAATCGTGGCTGAAGGATCAAGATCGGAGAAGAGATGATGATGGAAGGACGTGTTTAGCCGAAAAATTGTCTCTCATTTGTCTCTCCTTGGTGGCTGTGTCGATCTCCTGTTCGAGCTCCACTGCCTGCCAATTTCGGAGAAAATACATGAAGATGCTGCAAAAAGAATCCAAGATAATCCAAGAAAGAAACAGTTCCTGGAATACTCTTGACCAACTGACCAACACTTTGGTTTGTACTCGGTGAAAAAGCATTCCACCCAACCTTCTGGGCACACGATGCAAGGGCAGCATCTGCTGCTGGAGAGATGTCTTTCGCCCGATTGATCTCATCCAGGATCGCTTGCTCGTCGATCTGCAGTTTTGTCTGATTCGCGATCTGTGCCTGGTCAGACTGGTCAGTTTTAGGCAATGCGATTCACAAAATTCACAAACACGAGTCACAAATATTCACAAGAATCCAAAAAAAATGACTAAAGATCCGAAAGCCGAGAGAAAACCGAAGAAATGAACGCGTGTCCTGACATGATTCGGCATCGAAAACTGCCTCGTTGGTGATGACAGCGTCCTTGTATTTGCCAAGCTCTCCTTTCCTCAGCTCCCCTCTCTCTCTGCTAGAGATTTGCAATCTGAGGAACATCACGGGACATGCCAAAAATTCAGATTTGCACCAGCATCAGCGAAATATAGCGAAATCAAGGCAAACCAAGTGACAGGATTTCGATAGCCTTCTCGACCTTTGCAAGACAACTCTTCTCGTTCTCTTCACTTGCCTTTCTCCTCTTCTTGCAAATCTTTCGCTGCTCTTGGACGGACTCCTTGGTTGAGCATGGCTCAAGCCACTCAAATCATCTCAAATCACTCGAATGTGCACATGCATTGTGATATGATAAAACACAATGCAAACTGCAAACAAAACCAAACTCTCCAAAACTGCCACGAAGGCTAGTAGTGAGGGCTTGTTGCAACCGGGCATCCAAGTGCTTCTTGAGGTGGTCATTGACTCTCTGAACTTCCTTCCTCCCTTGCCCGGCCGCCTCACCAATTTGCTGTACTGCACCGCACTCGTCCAGGATGGCAACGATCTTGTCGAGCTCCATTGGCAGCCCGTTTTGAAGGATTAGCTCAAGAGAGACCTCATTCAGTGCCTCGAAGTACTTCTTGATGCGCAGTTCTGTTTCGTTCTGATATTCCTCCTTCTTTGAAGCTATCGACAGAGAGCTCGAAACTCCTGCAGCTTCCAACACCTCGTCCATTCCTTTTATTTGGTGGGCATGCCCACGAACCTCAGCAGTCTTCTCTGTCACTTTCTTGAGCTCTTCGAGCTTTGACGAGAGATGGTTCTCCTTTGTCGAAGCCAACCCAGCCGCATCCAACTTCTTGGCTTTCGTGTCCAAGATTTTCAGGGTCACTTTGGCTGCTGCGGCTTTCTGCTCGCATTGTTCCTGTCCACTTCCAGCCTCCAACTTCAACTCCTCTAAACGGTCGGACCCTGGTGGGCACGCGGCAGGCTCCAAGTCCTGAATTTGGCAAGCATCGCCTGAGGGGGCCTGAGAATGCAGGCTTGCCATATCCACAAGCTTGTTTTGGTCAACTGCCGTGCTGATCTGATCAAGTGTGTTGACCAGGCCTTCCTGAACAGCAGTCACCTTCTCCAAGACAAGCTGGGCTTTCTTGAGGGACTCGGACACAACCATTGTGGTAACCATGGCTTCAATCGACAAAAGCGTCGAGGACTCGAGGACACACTAGCTAATGGACCAATGGACCAGAGATGGCTTTCCTGCAGACGGAGATTGACGTATATTTCCGTGAAATGTTGCTGTCCACACCAGTGATGAAGTGTCAAGCAAACCGACCATCTTGTATAATTCGGCAGTGGAGACTGGAGCTGGTATCTCTCGGAAGTAAATGAAGTTCTAGGATGCCAGGATGCATGGGCCGCGCGCCACACTTTTTTTGCTGGCAGCGCATCGCAATGTCGCTCTTGGCCAGCATCTGCGCAAGCATGTTTTCCAGTTTGCAAGTGGTCCTTCTTGCAGAGACGACATGCTCATGCCCTTTCTACGTGAACTTTGTAAATGCTTTCCCGTTTGGAAAGGACCTCTTAAGAGGTTTTCGCCCGGCACTCACGTGAAGCCTGCTGTACAGTCCAGGATCACTACAGCACTGGGCAGCTCTGGTCCGGGGCACCGCAAAGTGTAGTGTGAACCATCTCTTTGGGAAAGATTGAAAAACGATGGGCAACGGGTTTCTGCTGGGCTTCTATAGCTTTATCTTGTCAACCAGCACTGCTGACTCAACAGTGTACTTGGAGTCATTGGGTGCATCCACAGGGCCTCTGTTGGGCCAACGTTGAACATCTTTGAACAACGAAGCTAGGACCTAGGAACATCTGCAACCGCAATGGTCTGCCTAGGAAGTTTCGGAAGCAAGGCAGCGCGGGCTGGCACCTGAGCCTCGCGTCTTTCCGGCCATTGGAATCATCGTTCACAGGGAGAAACTCTCAAGAGGTGCCAGCAAAATCCAGCAAAGAGCTTTTGGGAAAGGCTTCAAATTCGAAGGCATGCATATTTATACAGAAAAGACCGTAAGAATTGATAGGCAAGGCTTCTGGACTCACCATCATGTGTCAAGGGAACTCAGAATGGTTGCCATTTGAAATGTTTGAATGCTTCCGTTTCTGGGCGAACCTTTTTGGCGAACGACTTGCCTAGAATGCACCCATTCACTGCCGCTGGGCACCAGCTGAAGCAACGGATAGCAACGGATAGCAACGGGCCCCACCTTCCTCGCCTTCCTCGCCTTCCTCGCCTTCCGCTTCTTGCTCTGGCAGCTCCCAGCCGCGAGAGATTTCTGAGCCTTGGGAGCCTTGGTGGAACTCTGCACAGCTCGGGTATGCTTGAAACATCTTGAAACAAGCCAATTGAAAACAGCACGTACACTTTGCCAAAATCATGTCAAAGCATTGATCTATGCAATACATTGCAATACTATTTAATGATCAAAGCATGTCAAAATGTCATGTTCATCGGTTTTTGTGCCACGTTGGGAGAGATGCCAATGGCCAGCATAGTCGCTGAAATTGAGGACTGCACAGACGCTGCGATCGTCCCGTTGGGCGGCTAGCAGGTCTAGCACCTGCTGCTTCAACTCGCTGTTCTCCTGTTCCAATTTGTCTTTTTCGAAACGGTGGTAGCCCTCCTGCACCAGACAAGACCCAAATTCAGCCTATCCAGTTACATCCAGTTACTGTATTTTGCTGTATAACCTGCAAGCAACATTCTTGTGACCATGGACTACACTTGGAGTGCGGCTGACTCCCTCACTGCAGAAAGAGGGAGGACCATGATTCTGTCAGATTTCTCAAATCGGTGGTAGTCAGCCTTCCAGTCTTCATGACTAGGTCTGAGGGCATACAATGAGCAGAGAAATATTAAAGTTTGGGAACTTGATTGAAACACAACGTAGGATGCATTCTGCCAAACCGCTTATACCTCAATGCCCGTACACATTGAATGCCAGTTTTCCCAAATTCTCAGCCTCTCTTGTCTTGTTCAAGATACAACATAGTGGTCAGAGAGGGTGGCGGGGGTTAGATCTCTTGTGAAATTCCAAATGCAACAGGGGTTTCTGAATCGCTTCAGTTTTGGTTTCTGAATCGCTTCAGTTTTGGTTTCTGAATCCATCATGTTGGTTTCTGAATCGCGATTTTTTGGTTAATCGGGTGCTTTTTTTGGTTTCTGAATCGGTACGTTTTGGTTTCTGAATCGCTTCAGTTTTGGTTTCTGAATCGCTCATTTTGGTTTCTGAATCGTGACTTTTTGGTTTCTGAAGCGGGCGACGATCGACTCTCAAATGTCACGCACTCCGAAACCAATGCCCCCAATGCAGCAGCTACGAAACCCGTGCTGCAGCACCTGGATTGCCAGCTGCTTTGCTATCTCTTCTTTAATCATCTTGTCAATCTGAGCATGCTGGATCCTGTAGCTGAAAGGAACCATGAATCCTGGAAGTGAAACATGACTCTATGAATCGGCATTTTCACTGCATCATCACAGGATAACGGTAACGGCGACGGGTTCTCACCAGCTTTCGATCTGTCAAATCAGTCAAATCACCACGTGCCCGAAGAAAGAATATGAAGGATCCAAGAGTGCACAAGTCAGAACAAGGCCATGGCGGCTATGTGGCTTGAAAGAAATCGCTGTCTATAGGCTCGGCAGCCCGCAAGGTGCTCTGCAAATGCCGTCCGAGGTTCGACAAGGCGTAGGACTCTTGAGGAACCGCCGGTAGCGCCTCTGGCGCGTCCTGGAATGCAACAAGAAATCGTCTAAATCTGTCCGATCTTGCCGATCTGTCCGATCTGTCCACTTGGCGGCTCAGTTCACATCCGTTCGCGGTCCCTTCGCCACATGTCAGGGTCTACACCTTGAGCCCGGCCTCTTGGAACATCTCGAAGTCGCCAGCATTCTTTTTGACCTTCTCCTCAGCTGACTTGGCTAATGGCCTGGTTGGAAAATGCTCAACACACCTGCAGCTTGACAGCTTGACAGCCGTGTCAAAAAGCCACTTCTTGCAGATTCTGAGATTCATTCACTTCTGATAACAGCTTGTCTATCTGTCTGGCATTGTCTATTGTCTGGCACGATCTCTCTTTAGATTCTCTAGAATCTAGAAACCGAATCATTTCAATCATTTCAGTCTTCACTCATCGTCAGCCAAATTAGGCCGCAAGTCATTTCATTGCAAAAAAAAGAAAAAGGCCATCTGGCCGATTTCCCCCAGGCAAAAGCACAAGATTCTTCGGTGGATCGGGAAATTTCAGTCTTGTTGAACACGTACTTCATGTTCTCCAACCCTGTGAGAGACTCCAGTTGCTGCTCAGCTTTGCCTTTCTTGTCCTGCACCTGCAGTCACAACGTGCAAGAAATGGCTGTGACTTATGACTAGTCAAAACCCTAGCACCCTGCATACCCTATCCTACCTGGTACCCATCCACAAATGAGTCTGAAGAACGATCTGGAGCCATGCAAAACAATCCACGGTCAAGGCATCCATCCATCCCACTCTAGCAGAAGCTGGAGGTCAGTGGAAGCCAGGATGGCCAACACGAAAAATAGGGGAAAACAGATCTCTGTCACAAGATGTCACAAGCACACCTGAGCTGTGTTCAAAATTCCTTTTGATCTCCTGAGCGAGAATTCAAAGCTTACATAGGAGCTTACGTTCACTTACGCTTTCCAAGGTTTTGCTTACGACACAACAATTTCAAAGAACTAGCTTACGCATCTCTTACGGCAAACTTTCCCGGCAAACCAAAGAGTGAAGTTTAGTGAAAAACACGTGCTGGGAAGATGCATTTTTTTACTATATGCAATGGCATAATGGCATAATCATCGACATTCAATAGCATGCAATAGCATGCATCAAATGAAGCACACAACCTTGTTTGAGCCCCAGCTCTCATGGCCCGACATGGACTTACGAACGGCTTATGGCTTACGGCAACATGTTTGTGACCAATGCTTACGTCAAACCTTTCGCACTGCTTACGAAACCCAAGGAAAGTCTTACGACTTGATGGAGTTTATGCAAGCCCAATACTAAACAAGTAAGGGGGGAATTTAGAACGCTGCTCACCTGGCCAAGTTCCATCCTCTGCTCTTGCAACGCCATGTTCTTTTCGTTGACCTTCAGGGATTCACTCGGATCTTGACCTACCTTTGTGTTCGGTTCCAATACTCGGTGGCTTGCAGCAAGTCAAACTCCCCTTAGCATTCAACATAGACAAAACACATGTAAAAAAAAATCAACGGAGCACCTCAGCCTGTTAACTTCAGGATCGAAGTGGAAATGTATTCAATCTGTATTGATTTGCTGGAGATTCCTCCGAGTACCCTCGTGTCAACATGTAACAATAGTGACACTTCGTCCAGACCAATAGCTAAAACCAGCCACTGCAGCAATGTGGAATGGAATCCGGCCAAATGACCTCGCTTTTCTTTTGGGCAAGGTGATTCCTAGGTTCAACGTCCACGTGTCAATGCGAGAACGACGACTCAAAACTGCCTGAAATGCAAAGATATTATTGAAAAGGCACAGGATCTTCCACCCGTGTTTGGTAAACTATTGCATGCCCCTTGGTCGGGAACCATGGTACCTCGATGATCCTCGATGTGCATTTTACTTTGTCCAGAAGAGCTTGAAAACGTCGCAGCATGTCCCAGCTATCTTCACAAAAGTTGGGAAGTTGGTTTGAACTTGCCCAAAGCTGAATGCAAGGACATGAGTTTTAGATAGTTTTAGCCTAGGCTCCGAGGTCCCGTCCCTTGTTCTAACTTCTTCAAATCGCACTCGCATTTCGCCAGCTCCTAAAACGCAAGAGACGGACAGCATTGAGGGTTTCGTCAGTACCAGTAGCGGCAGTAGCGCTTCAATTTCATCGCAATGGTCACCAAAAATTCTCAGACACCGAAAGACCAAGAAAAGCTCCGATGGTAAAAAAGGCATGTCAGGGCACAAAATGCAGATATACACATACAATGACAATACAGAAAACGCAGCTTTTGCATCGTTTGAATCTCGGAGCTCCTTCTCCGTCACCTGGATCTGTTTCTTCTTCTGATCCTCTGCGCGTAACAAGATGTTCAAGGCAACCTGGGTGCCCTCCATGGCCAAAGTCGAAGGCAGCTGAGCCGTCTCATTCAACCCTGCGGCTGTCTCCTGGATTCAGCCGAGAATCGTGGCTGAAGGATCAAGATCGGAGAAGAGATGATGATGGAAGGACGTGTTTAGCCGAAAAATTGTCTCTCATTTGTCTCTCCTTGGTGGCTGTGTCGATCTCCTGTTCGAGCTCCACTGCCTGCCAATTTCGGAGAAAATACATGAAGATGCTGCAAAAAGAATCCAAGATAATCCAAGAAAGAAACAGTTCCTGGAATACTCTTGACCAACTGACCAACACTTTGGTTTGGACTCGGTGAAAAAGCGTTCCACCCAACCTTCTTGGCACACGATGCAAGGGCAGCATCTGCTGCTGGAGAGATGTCTTTCGCCCGATTGATCTCATCCAGGATCGCTTGCGCGTCGATCTGCAGTTTTGTCTGAACCGCGATCTGTGCCTGGTCAGACTGGTCAGTTTTAGGCAATGCGATTCACAAAATTCACAAACACGAATCACAAATATTCACAAGAATCCCAAAAAAAATGACTAGAGATCCGAAAGCCGAGAGAAAACCGAAGAAATGAACGCGTGTCCTGACATGATTCGGCATCGAAAACTTCCTCGTTGGTGATGACAGCGTCCTTGTATTTGCCAAGCTCTCCTTTCCTCAGCTCCCCTCTCTCTCTGCTAGAGATTTGCAATCCGAGGAACATCACGGGACATGCCAAAAATTCAGATTTGCACCAGCATCAGCGAAATATAGCGAAATCAAGGCAAACCAAGTGACAGGATTTCGATAGCCTTCTCGACCTTTGCAAGACAACTCTTCTCGTTCTCTTCACTTGCCTTTCTCCTCTTCTTGCAAATCTTTCGCTGCTCTTGGACGGACTCCTTGGTTGAGCATGGCTCAAGCCACTTAAATCATCTCAAATCACTCGAATGTTCACATGCATTGTGATGTGATAAAACACACTGCAAACTGCAAACACACCAAAACTCTCCAAAACTGCCACGAAGGCTAGTAATGAGGGCTTGTTGCAACCGGGCATCCAAGTGCTTCTTGAGGTGGTCATTGACTCTCTGAACTTCCTTCCTCCCTTGCCCGGCCGCCTCACCAATTTGCTGTACTGCACCGCACTCGTCCAGGATGGCAACGATCTTGTCGAGCTCCATTGGCAGCCCGTTTTGAAGGATTAGCTCAAGAGAGACCTCATTCAGTGCCTCGAAGTACTTCTTGATGCGCAGTTCTGTTTCGTTCTGATATTCCTCCTTCTTTGAAGCTATCGGCAGAGAGCTCGAAACTCCTGCAGCTTCCAACACCTCGTCCATTCCTTTTATTTGGTGGGCATGCCCACGAACCTCAGCAGTCTTCTCTGTCACTTTCTTGAGCTCTTCGAGCTTTGACGAGAGATGGCTCTCCTTTGTCGAAGCCAACCCAGCCGCATCCAACTTCTTGGCTTTCGTGTCCAAGATTTTCAGGGTCTCTTTGGCTGCTGCGGCTTTCTGCTCGCATTGTTCCTTTCCACTTTCAGCCTCCAACTTCAACTCCTCTAAACGGTCGGACCCTGGCGGGCACGCGGCAGGCTCCAAGTCCTGAATTTGGCAAGCATCGCCTGAGGGGGCCTGAGAATGCAGGCTTGCCATATCCACAAGCTTGTTTTGGTCAACTGCCGTGCTGATCTGATCAAGTGTGTTGACCAGGCCTTCCTGAACAGCAGTCACCTTCTCCAAGACAAGCTGGGCTTTCTTGAGGGACTCGGACTCAACCATGGCTTCAATCGACAAAAGCGTCGAGGACTCGAGGACACACTAGCTAATGGACCAATGGACCAGAGATGGCTTTCCTGCAGACGGAGATTGACGTGTATTTCCGTGAAATGTTGCTGTCCACACCAGTGATGAAGTGTCAAGCAAACCGACCATCTTGTATAATTCGGCAGTGGAGACTGGAGCTGGTATCTCTCGGAAGTAAATGAAGTTCTAGGATGCTCGAGCGCGGCACTTTTTTGCTGGTACCTCTTGCAAGTAAGAGCAATTCGTCGCTCTTGTGGCCAGCATCTGCGCAAGCACGTTTTCAGTTTGCAAGTCGTCGGCAAATCTGTTCCCCCAATTCCTTCTTGCGGAGACATGGTTGCGCCCCTTCTACGTAAACTTTGTAAAAGCTTTCCCGTTGGAAAGAACCTCTTGAGAGGTTTCGCCCAGCACTCACGTGAAGCCTGCTGTACACCCCAAACAACCTAAAGATGTCAGGGGACTAAAGGATCAGTGCCTACAGCACTGGGCAGCTCTGGTCTATGGCAACTCAAACTAGAATGACTATAGTAGTATGAACTACTTCTTCGTTGAGTTTCGATATAACTCTATGAAGCCACCAGCTCGTACCACGCGCCCGGACACCAAGTGTCGACTCAACATGCTTAGTGTACTTGGACGCACAGGCAGGGCCACTCTTGGGCCAGCCATCTGCGCTCCTGACAGAGCAAGACTTGAAAGCGATCAGCCTGCGTTGAACTACGAAACTTTACAGTACAGCTGCAATGGTCTGCCTATCAAGAACTGGGCCCATCTTCAAGGGCAGGAAGAGATGAGCTGGCACCTGAGCAGGGCACCTTCATAATGTACTTGGAAGAAATTTGGAAGAACTGGCATGATACTTTCCTCCACAACTCGTCATCGTTTCTCAGGAGCACGGAAAATTTCTTTCGTTGTCTGGGCCCCTTTTTCTGGGGAACTAGTGGGCACACAGAGCTTGAACTACAAGAAGAGCACAGCCTTCCAGCAAACAGGCAACACACAACAAAGGAACACTTGGGCAACTGGAAAGGCAAGGATGAGAAGAGGGAAGCGCCTGAATAAAGATCATAAAGGCTGCACAAGGACTAGACAAGCTAACAGGTCAAGTAATACTGGAAACTGCGAAAGGGTTCCCCATGGAACACCTCCGCACACCAACATGTGGGAAAGTCACACCCACACCTTTCCCCAATCCGCCGGCCTGCCGGCGTGTCTGATTCGAAGGTGTTGTTCTTGTTTCTGTTCTTGGTTTGTACTTGTTCCTTTGTTCTATTGCTGCGCGCTTTTGCTTCGTCTGAATTAAGTCCACCCCCCCTCCCCCCCTCCCACCTAGCACCAGTAGTACCGCACAAGGCGGTGGCGGAAGTTTCAAAAATAGGAAACCTATAGGAGAGGTTGGTTGTTGTGAATCACGGATGCCAGGGCGAATCCACTGATGGACCGAAAGGTGGTTGGAGTTGCGTTTTTTGGAGTGGTTGCAATGGTTGCAGTGGTCACCTCACCACAACTGTTGGATGTAGTGTGGTGTAGTGCAGTTGTAGTTGTACTTGTAGTTGTAGTGTAGCGTTGCGTAGTGGAGTTGTAGTTGTAAGTTGTAGTTCTAATGTGATGTAATTAGTGTAGTGTAGTTGAAGTTGCAGTTGTAGTTGTGGTGTGGTGTAATTAGTGTAGGATATTGTAGTATATTGTAGTGTACTGTAGAGTTGTGTACTGTAGTGCGGTATAGTGTAGTGTAGCCTAGTGTGGTGCCGTGTAGAGTAGTGTAGTTGTAGTTGTCGTGTATTGTAATTAGCCTAGTGTCGCGTAGTGCAATGTAGTGGTAGTTGTAATTGTAATTGCAGTTGCCGTTGTAGATGTAGTGTCATGTAATTAGTGTAGTGTAGTGTTGTGCTGTGTAGTGTACTGTTGTGTAGTGTTGAAAAATGTGGTGTAGTAGTTGTAGTTGTAGTTGTAGTTGCATGTATATTTGTAGTTGTAGCGTGCTGCAGTGCAATTAGTGTAGTGCATTGTAATGTAGTGTAGTTGTAATTGTAGTTGTAGATTTGGTGGTGGTAGTAGTAGTAGTTGTTGTTGTTGTTGTTGTTGTTGTTGTAGCTGTAGTTGTGGCTGTAGTGGTAGTGGTACTGGTAGTGGTAGTTGTAGTTGTAGTTGTCTGTCCATCTACCTAATCAATCTATCAATCAATCAATCTATCTATCTGCAAGCTTGAAAACGCAGCTTTTTTGCGAGACTTCCTCATTTTTTGAACTTGACAACGTCAAAAACGAAACAATTCTGCGAGACTTCCTCAATTTTTGAACTTGACAGCATCAAAAACGAAACAATTCTGCAAGACGTCCTCAGTTTTCGAAGTTGACAACATCAAGAACGAAACAATTCTGCAAGACTTCCTTCAAAAATAGAAAGTTGAGTGCAAAGCTGACGGCCTCGTACCAATGCGTTTTGCATTTTTTCCACTCCACCTGTCTAAAGTACTGCGCCTGCCACGAAAAAATGATGCCAGGTCATACGAAGTGCTGCACCTGTCACGCAAAATCATCTCAGCAAACCTAAAGATCTGGTGCTCCAAAACGCAACCCTTCTCAGGAAATCAACGCCCTGACCTCCTAACATCTCTGATGAACATGTCTCTTGTACGCCCGCCACGGAAACATGCATCTTTGCAGATCCTCTTCAAATGCCCCACACCTGCCATCGGTTTTGGAAATGTGATAAAACCCTCACGTTTTGCTCACTTTTGACAAGGTGCACAATCCCTTGCCTGCCACGCAAAACGACGCTTCAACGTCCAAAAGTGGCGCGAACATGTGGTGCTTTGTACATGTTGACTTCGAAATGTGCTTCGCGCCACAACGGCGTGCACTTTTTCGACAACGCAACTTCCAAAAGTGGTCCGAACCTGGTGTGTTTTGTACATGTTGACTTCAAAATGTGCTTCGCGCCACAACGGCGTGCACTTTTTCGACATCGCAACTTCTAAAAGTGCTCCGAAGCTGAGGTGTTTTGCGCATTTTGACTTCGAAATGTGCTTCGCGCCACAGCGGCGTGCACTTTTTTAAAATCGCAATTTCCAAAAGTGGTCTTAACCCATCTTAACCCGTCAGTTTTTTATACTTTTGACTTCGAAATGTGCTTCGCGCCACAACGGCGTGCACTTTTTTGATATCTCAACTTCCAAAAGTGGTCCGAAACGTCAGTTTTTTTACACTTTTGACTTGGAAATGTGCTTCGCGCCACAACGGCGTGCAATTTCATCTCTCAACTGTCCACCTGGCTCCGCACCCGCCGCTTTAGCGAGCCTACTTTTCGACCCTCCCGAGTCACAAATCATTGGAAAAATACCGTGTTTCGCGACTTTCCTACCTTTTCGCGCACCTGGATCTTCTTTCTTCGGAGACTCTTCTCTTTTTGATCTTCTTTCTTCTTCTCTTCTCTTGTCTGACTCTTCCCATCTCTGATTTTCATCTGTCCTACTACTACTACGACGACTATTCCGACGACTACCACTATACTGCTACTACTTGTCTGACTCTTCCCATCTTGTCTGTTCTACTCCTATTCCTACTCCTACTACTACTACTACTACTACCACCACTACTACTACTACTACTACTAATTCTACTACTACTACTACGACGACGACAACTACTCCGACGACTACCACTATACTGCTACTGCTACTGCTACTACTACGACTACTACTACGATGACGACTACTACTACTACTACTATTACTTTTGCTCCTGCTCCTAATCCTACTCCTAATAATTATTACTACTCCTGCTCCTGCTCCTGCTCCTACTCCTACTCCTACTCCTACTCCTCCTCCTCCTCCTCCTACTCCTACTCCTACTCCTACTACTACTACTACTACTACTCCTACTACTACTACTACTACTGCTACTACTACTACTACTCCTATTCCTACTCCTACTACTACTACTATTCCTACTCCTACTACTACTACTACTACCACTACTACTACTACTACTACTACTACTACTACTACTACTACTACTAGTACTACTATTATCAGAACTACTACTACTGCTACTACTACTACTACGACGACGACTACTACTACTACTACTACTACTACTACTACTATTATCAGAACTACTACTACTGCTACTACTACTACTACGACGACTACTACTACTACGACGACGACTACTCCGACGACTACCACTATACTGCTACTGCTACTGCTACTGCTACTGCTACTACCACTACGACTACTACGACAACTACTACTATGACCACGACGATGACTACGACTACTACGACTACTACTACTATTGTTATTACTACTATACTACGACGACGACTACTACGACTACTACGACGACGACGACAACGACGACGACAACGACGACGACGACGGCGACTACTACCTACTACTACTACTACCACTACTACTACTACTACTCCTACTGCTACTGCTACTGCTACTGCTACTGCTACTGCTATTGCTACTGCTACTGCTACTGCTACTGCTACTGCTACTGCTACTCCTACTACTACTACTACAACTACTACTACTACTACTACTACCACCACTACCACTACCACCACTACCACTACCACCACTACCACTACCACTACCACTACCACTACCACTACCACTACCACTACCACTACCACTACCACTACCACTACCACTACCACTACTACTACTACTACTACTGCTCCTCCTACTACTACTCCTGCTCCTGCTCCTTCTCCTACTCCTATTCCTACTCCTACTACTACTACTACTACTACTGCTCCTCCTCCTCCTCCTACTACTACTACTCCTGCTCCTGCTCCTTCTCCTACTCCTATTCCTACTCCTACTCCTATTACGACGACTACTACTACTACTACTACTACTAATTCTACTACTACTACTACTACTACTAATTCTACTACTAATTCTACTACTACTACTACTACTACTACTACTACTGCTACTGCTACCACCATCACCACTACTACTACTTCTACTACTACTTCTACTTCTACTACTACTACTACTACGACTACTACGACTACTACTACTACGATGACGACTACTACTACTACTATTACTTTTGCTCCTGCTCCTAATCCTACTCCTATTACTACTACTCCTGCTCCTGCTCCTGCTCCTGCTCCTACTCCTACTCCTACTCCTACTCCTCCTCCTCCTCCTACTCCTACTCCTACTCCTACTCCTACTACTACTACTACTACTACTGCTCCTCCTCCTCCTCCTACTACTACTACTACTCCTGCTCCTGCTCCTTCTCCTACTCCTATTCCTACTCCTACTCCTATTACGACGACTACTACTACTACTACTACTACTATTATCAGAACTACTACTACTGCTACTACTACTACTACGACGACGACGACTACTACTACTACTATTATCAGAACTACTACTACTGCTGCTACTACTACTACTACTAGTACGACGACTACTACTACTACTACTACGACGACGACTACTCCGACGACTACCACTATACTGCTACTGCTACTGCTACTGCTACTGCTACTGCTACTACCACTACGACTACTACGACAACTACTACTATGACCACGACGATGACTACGACTACTACGACTACTACTACTATGGTTATTACTACTATACTACGACGACGACTACTACGACTACTACGACTACTACGACGACGACGACGACAACGACGACGACGACGGCGACTACTACCTACTACTACTACTACTACTACCACTACTACTACTACTACTACTACTACTACTATTATACTACTACTACTACTACTTCTACTACTACTGCTGCTGCTGCTG